TGTAATGGAATACATTTTAAAAGTAACCTTCCCAACACTGTCTGCATAGCAGTGAAAATGTATGCTATGTCTTCTAATGATGCTGCCTTAGGGAAGCATGTAAAATGTAAACAGAATTGGTCCTAGCACTGAACCCTGTGGAACTCCATAATTGACCTCAGTGTGTGAAGAGGACTCTCCAGAGTGTGATTAAAGTGGTGGGTGGGTTCTTTTACATTTTGAGAGAGATTAATAACTAATAGCAGGTTAAATGCTGTGTTGAGGCTGTCATTTTTATCATCCCCACTTGGGGGACGCTCCCATAGGGCTTAAAATCTGAGACTCTCCACCAGCTGCTCTTAAAACCGAAGAAGCTTCTGTGATGAGAGGTGAAACGTCTTCAAGAAACTTCAGACGCTTTTCTTTCCAAGCTCCTTAGACTACTGAGATCCTTCATAGATAGGCTACATCCACGTGGTTGTTAAAATCACCCACAATAATTGGGTGAAGTCGAACCGCTCAGTGCATCATGGACTTAGACTTATTGTAGCATAACTAAAGGAGGAGTCAGCGTCATCTGATAGAGCCCTAACTATACGCTTTATAAAAATGGAAAGTTTTAAGTCTAAAAGTAGAGAGGGTGGAGGAAACTTGTGTTTGGGCAAACTTGTGTTTGGGCTGTGTGTTTTTGCCCTGGTTTCTAGATCTAGGGACTGCCCAATGTTAAAATTTCAGGGAACATGAAAGTTATGGTGGAGAGTGGGTAGGTGGTTGCAGCTGCAGGTCACAATTACTGTCTCTGAAAAAGAATCTGAAGATGAGCTAGAGATTGTGGACAGGAAGACAAGAAATCAGCTGACATCTGGAAAGCTGGAATGAAGAGGTGACAGAATACTACTGAATGAAGCATAGACTAAACACTAACAGGAAAACCACTTTATCACTGAGTGGGTGAAGACAATCTGGAAATGAATAAATACCACCCGCTCAATGAGGGGATGCTGATTAGGTATGAGGGGAAGAATCTAACTCCACAACTCCACTCCTTAGAAGGAAACAACAGCTCCAACACATAACAAAAAACAACCTAAAAATACCCTGGCCATGAAAGTACCCCCCCGCCCCAACGGTTGCCACCAGGTGGCTACCTGGCTTGCCTGGATGAGCCCTATGAAGGTCTATAAAAGGATCCATAATGAAAGACTGGGGAATCCAGAATCTGTCCTCCAGGCCATAGCCCTCTCAGTCCACCAGAAACTGAAGACCCCCACCCCGCTGCCAGACGTCCACAATCTTGTGAATGGATAAGAATTGGACTATTGTCCACCAACTGGGTGAGGAGACTTGGTAGGAGTCACAGTACGCTGGAAGAAATGGTCTTAATCTGGGAGACATTGAACGAGGGATGTATTTTCATAGCTGCTGGAAGCTTTAAGCGGATTGCAGACAGGTTGATAATGTGCACAATTTCAAACGGGCTGATAAATCCTGTCCTTCAACGACAACCAGACTTTTTGAGCGACTGCATAGGACAGAGCCGGGGTCCTATGCTGATCAGCCAAGCAGAGGTTTTGTTCGGCAGACTTCCACAGTGCAGTTCGACGCCAAAATGCGACTGCAGTGGTGCATGTGGTGATGAATTGATGGGACTGCGAGAAGAAGAAGAAGAAAAGGCGGCCGATAACCTAAAGATGCCGCAAACGGTGATAGCCCATGGCAGAGGAGGTGAACATGTTGTGCACATACTCAACTAAGTAGCTAACAGTTGATGGAACAAAGGTGCAATTGGTCAGACCCCTGCCAGAATTATGCCATCTAAGCTAAACTCACTTTATCTGGTCCATTATTTGTCAAATCAACATTCCCACTACGACACAAGATGGAGGCAGAATTGTTGTGGTGCTGATGTTCATTGCTCGGGTGCAACCTGGCAACCTGTCAGGTTTAACATTTTAGGCCCTGGGGCAATATTTCTGTTTTTTGAAGAAATTATACATTTTTGGTGATCTGTCCAAATGAGGGAGGCTGTTCTGTCCCCTCCAACCAATGCTACCATTCCTCTAATGCAACTGGGAAAAGTCAGTGGGAGAGAAATGTGCAGTGGTTGATTCAAACAGCCAAATCAGCTAGCTCATCTAAAGACCCAGTCTTTCCTCATTGGTAAGTTTGTCCTTTAGACGCCTTATCACTTTACCCCAAATCTTAAATACTGCCCACTCAAGAAGGGGTTAATGATCAGAAGCTCCACCACACAACTAAAAACAAACAGAAAAACACCCTGGCCATGACATTATCTTTACATTTAAGAGTTATATACCAGAGAGTCTAGCAGTTCTGATTGGTGGCTTTTAGAGTAGCCACAGGATCGAGAGCTGTACGCAGTGAAGACGTAAAACTACTAACAGGATAATCGGCTTGTGTGGGAGTAGAGTTAAGGTAGCTGCTCTCCCGTGTTGGAACATGGAGAAGATAAGGTTGAGGAATGATATCCTTAAACTTCGTTACAGCACTTTCAGAAGTGTGATGAGGTACTCTGCAAGTCATTGCTGAACATTTAAACGATCAGAAATGATCAGACAACAGAGTGATTACATTTCAATGTTCAGTTTCTATGTCATTTGTCAGAAAAAGATCTAGAGTTGGTTAAAGTGGTGGGTGTGTTGTTTTCCATTTTGAGATGAGCCAGTTGACTCTAATAATTTACTCTATTATTAGAGTCAACTGGCTCATGGTGTGTTGAGTCTGTCATTTTCAGTATGGATGTTCAACTCACCCACAATAATTATTTTATTTGAGCTGAGTAATTAATGAGTCGAGCACTAAACTCTGAGTAAGGACAGGCTGACGATAAATAACAACAAATAAAACCATTTTTCAGTTTTCCAGTTAGGAAAGCACCAAGCTTTCACATCTTTTCAACTCTGTGTGGGTCTTTGGTTGATTAATAAGCTGGAGTGGAAGATTGCTGCCACACTCGCTCCTCAGCCTGTGCTTCAAGGATTGACACATAGTAAGATTCGGGGGTGTTGATTCATTTAAACTGCTGTGCAGAGTAAATCAATGCGTTGATCAATAAATGATTTATGTACTAATAGGCACTAAGCCACATTTCACTGTTTTATTAGATTTTGCATTAGTGGATGCTGTGCTCCTCTTTCTTTGTTTTATGTTTAAATCATTGTTGCTGGTTTGGGTGGTCTGGGAGTAGACAGTCTCTAAGACGATGGGGTTCCCTTCAATTTTATTTATGCAGCGCCAAATCACAACAACAGTGTCCTCAGGAGGCTTTATACTGTAAGGTAAAGACCCTACAATAATACAAAGAAAACCCCATATAACCCTAAGGAAGAACTCCCTTTTAACAGGAAAGAGCCTCCGACAGAACCAGGCTCAGGGAGGGGCGGGACACATTGTAGGGTTTTGGATAAAAGAAGGAGAGAAGCTGCAGAGAGGCATTAAAGACTGCAGGTGTGCTGGTTTACTGGTGCTTGAGGACAGCTATGGCTGTCCTACTTTGGCCTCACAGGGCCGGGCCAGTTCTGGGTTTTTCAAAGGTGCCGAGCTGGGTCTGTTCACATCCCTGATTTAAACTGTTTAGCTGATATCTTTCCACTTGGTAAACAGAATGCTGGAAATATAAACTTGGATTTTATTTATTTACCAATAAATACTCTTCTTTTGAACCTGACTCTATTCAACAGTTTCTGTTCTAAAAAGCATAAGAAAAAAATAAAAACTTCAAATTAAAAGAAAACAATTAAGACATGAGCTACAACTATTAAATTATCTGAGAATGTTAACTGTGTATCATTTAAACAGAACTCACTCAAAGTACTCACTGAAAATAAGAAAAGAGCCTTAAACCTTCTTATTTCATTTTGTGTTACCTCGGTGATCTAATGTCCATCCACTTATTTTCATTTATGATGGTGGAAACCATTAGATTGATTTTGCTTTAAAAGACCACATTTTACTTTGATTCAGGAGTCTCCTCCAGGCTTTGAGTAACATCCTCATAGTCATGAATGTAGGGAATTAACTGTGTCTCCTCATCAACGTGATTTCTGAGAAGATCATTGGTGAGTATGTTTGGGGTCTGGGGTGCATTTTAATGTCCCCATCATGGCTCATGAAACCAGTGAAGGAAAGGTCTGAACTGGAATTGAGGACACTATGTTACTGTGGCAACCTGTCAATCATAAAGCAGCCATTGATAAATAAATACTTAAGAAGATGTTAAACTCCTTACAGAACCATGACTTCAACAATGAACAGTGTGACACTTCTGCTCAGTCTTACACAGTGATGCTCCCTGATTCAGCACAATAACAACATAAATGTTGCTCTATTGTTAACACAATATTAACAACATTAACAACTTTTTTGCAATAAATAAATAAATAATAATAATTAAAAAAAAAAAAGAATAACACAAGTTTCCTCCCAGCAACACAATCTCAAATCCATTGTTGGATTGTCGTGGAGACTGGAGTCACAGAAACTGTCTGCACTACAGATCATTAGTGTAACCATGGTGTTTTGCAGGCTTTTATATGAAACACACATCCTCCGACCCTTTGCCCTCCTGCTGATTGTACCTGTGTTCTGCTGCTGCCATGCTGGAAGCCCATCAGTCCAAACAGCACAGCGCTCCTCTGTTCTCCTGTTTGTACTTCACCTGGTCTCCTCCTCCATCCAGGAGTCTTAGTTTGTGTCTATGAGAGTGTTGGTCTGTGTGCTCTACTGGAAGGCCAGTAGGAACATGAGAACTACATTGATGATTATCAGCAACATCATGATGAGGAACACCACCACCTTCTGGGTCTCTGGGGGGAGGTTGCAGCGCAGCATGGTGTTAAAGAATCCCATCCTCTGCCTGCTCCACCTCCCTGAACCACCGCCACGAGCCATCAGTTCCCTAGCTTCTTCCTCTTCCTCCTCAGCACCGCCTCCCCTCCCCCGTCTTCTCTCCCTCAACACCAAGCCTCCACACCACACCGCGTCACCTCGTCCTCCTTCTCGACTATCGATGTCAGTATCCTCTCGGGCTGCTCTCTTCCTCCGCTCAGCTCCAGCGGCGTCCTCCTCTGTTTTTCCTGCCACTTTGCTAATTTGCCAGCGTTGACCCGGCCTGCCTGTGGAGGCTGGGTGCCTACCTGTGTCAGCGTCTGCGTAACGCTTTGGGAAGATATCTGTGTATTACGTGCTGAGCATGGACCCCCCCCTCCTCTTTTCTTTGAGGAAAAAGCGCCTCCCCTCCTCCTCGCTCTGTCTTCTTTGTATCCACCACTTCTGTTTTTCCTTTCGGCTCTTCTCTCTTTTAGTCAGGATATCAGGATGAAAGCCAGCCAGTGGGTTGCTGCACCGCTCCGATACGTGATCATGGCTCGTCCTTTTTTCCGTCTGTCCGCTTGTTTTCCAGAGCGTTCTTGTCTACAGCCCACATAAACTCTTTTCTTCTACCTCTTAAACCAAATGGCCATTTGGAGCTGGCTTGTTGTATCTGTGCTCATCTTTTCTCTCCATTAAGAGCTCCTTCTAAAATGGTGCTCTGCCTGGAGCCGTGCTACCTCAACCATCTAACTACTAGGATCAACCTTGTTTCCTTTATTCTCCCCTTCCTTCCCTTCCCTTTTATATTGTGCCCACCCTTGCATAAGCTGGCAGCCAATCAGAATGCGGAGTGTGTCAGCATATCCTAGATACCACAGTAGTTGAGGCAAGCACATTGTAACCCATTGGAGGGCAGCAAAGAGGGGGGCAGGGTATTTGGCAGAGAGGGACAGAGGAGGGGGGATAGTGAAGACTGATCTAAGGAGAGCTGATGCGTGTGTGTGCACATGTACATCGTATCTATTACTGCAGGATTCAACATAACAGCAAAGCAACAACAGTTATAAAGGACCTGTATGAAGTGTGATCAGAAGATCATTAAGATAACAACAACATTTCTTTCACAATGATTCAGTGTTTGGAGTACTGGGCACCAGCGGCTCCCCTACTGAAAAATCTTTTACTATATAGTTGCTTTCACAAGGTGGGACCAGAGCTTCCACTCAATAATCCACATCTCCACACATCTATTCCTAGTTTCAGCTTTTCACACTCTCTCTACTAATCCCATCTATCAGGCATGAGAGCTGCGACCTATTATATTTATGTGACCCGTGGGAGGTAGCCATTTCCATAGGATGGAGCTGTAGGCATACAGTCAGTTCACAAGGGGTTCATACAAAATAAGATTAAACATATAACGGTAGCACCTAAAAACAATTAAAAGCTTTACTTTATTAAATACGTTTAAAACTATAAAGTTGTGTGATTGTACGTGGGAGACAGGATAAGCGATAACCTGTGAAAACCAATCAACGTTTGACACAAAGAGATGGCAGCTCACACTGAACACCAACTGGGCAAAACAATATAAAAACCTTCAGTGCCATCTCCACTCAAGCTCACCACAGTGCATGCAAAAGCAGCCAGAAAAAAAACCAGCTTCCACGCAGTAATCCACTCTAACATACAATCAGTCCCTGCATTGGAGCTGATACAGTGAAATAAAACAAACAAACAGAACATGCAGCTGTCACAATAATCTTCACCAGTCTAAACACATTAAAATAAGCACTGGTGCATCAGGACCTCGGCCCTGCAGCCAGAAATCCACCCAGGCAAAGCAGCAGCTCTGCACTCTGTAAATGGAAACAGGACATCACCCTGAACAGTCGACCGCAGCAGGAATATCCCGCCTGGCTTCATAAGTGTTGTTCAGTTACCTGTTCACAAGTTCGAGTCACACCCTCATAAGTATCGGCAGGTGGTGGCGGAGTCCGCTACATGTTTCTCCACAGGAATAAAACCATGTTTTCCTCCTACAACGGCACATATAACTTTAACCTTCCGCCAAATCACCAAAATGCAATCTTGGGTGACCTGCCGCTCCAACCGAAGGCTATGGCACCCACATCAAGCTGTCATAAACAGTTACAAGTGGCAAATAGCACAGCTTGGAACAGGCACACAGCTCCAGGTTCACTCACCTGTGCTTATAAAAGGGAAAAACCCAGCTCCGCCTTCCAGGGGAGGTTCCCAGTCTCAGGGCTCACCTGTCACGTCTAGTATCATTAGCATCACTGTACTATCAATCAACCTTACACATCCATTACTACTATGGATATTTTTTCATGTGTTTTCATTGTCAGTAAGTAACAAAAAGTGAAATATTCCCAGACTGTCCTGATTGCTTCTAAAAACAGTTTACAGATGTGAAGGATGCAGGATGGATTCTCCACATAACTCTTAATGATGGGATGTTTTTTTCTTGCTCTCAAATGCCTAACCCAGTGCTTTCATCTAGGTCCAGAGAGGAGAAAAAAACAGTCATGAGAGAACTGGGGTCAGCATCAGCAGCATCGTGGTATTCATTCTCCATTCTTTTAGGCAATAATGTAATGGAAGAGAACAAGGCAGTGTCATGACAGTTGGTTCCTGCAGCAATAATAAAGAGTAGGGATGGTTAGCCCGTTCGCTAGCTAACTACACAGCATACATGTGAAACTGAATTCTATATCACGTCCAAATCAACATCAGTCCTTCTGTGGTGGAGGGCGTGTCTAAGCACTGTTTAGGCTTTCAACACTGAAAAATGAACAACAAACTGCTCAAAGCCGTGTATTTAATGGCCATGGGTGTCAGCAGTGGTTTGGGATCATTTATGCTGAGCAATTTTTTAAAAAACGTATGAAATGCCAAGTAGGTGCTGCTCATTTAGACCAACTTGAAATTTGATATATGTGAAAAAGTGTTTGCCCACTTCCTGAATTCTTTGTTTAATGATCTGAAACACGTAAGTGTGATAAACATGCAAAAAACAAACTTTAATATTAGAGAAAGAAATTGCAAGTAAATACAAAATGCAGCTTTTGAACAATGATTTCATTTCTCAAGAGAAAAACACTTTTGTAATCTGGCACTCTGCTGAAACTGTAATTGCCCCCTTAATAAATCATGTATTAACTGTGATTAACAACAGTTTTTGGAGTTCAGTTTTACTACCGACATCCATGGCTAATTACTGTCATATCTGTTAAATCAAGACACCACTTCAATAGTATCTGTCTGACAACGTGAATTTGGTTGCAACATCAACATATCATGCCACAATGTAGAGAAAAGTCATTGATATCTATCACTCTGGAATAGGGATGGGTACCGATATCCACATAAACGGTAGTAACCAGACCAAAAAGCAGCGCACATTTCGGTGCTTTATTTCAGTGCTTTTTTTTCCTGTGATGTCACACACTTTGGATTCTAGCCAATCATTTTACGTTTCCGAGGATAGTAGGCGGGTCCAGGTACGTTCTTTTAGAGCAGAGCTACAGATTAAAAATGCCCAAGGTGAAGCGGTCAAAAGAAAAATAAACATGGAATAGAATGGGAACACAAAAGGGTTTAATAAACAATCAACAGGGAACTGTGATATACAACAAAAGGACCTCGTATAATGTATGGGATTAAACCTATAACCAGGAAGAAACAGTTTACAGAGTTTAGAGAGCTTATTTAGGCTACAACAGGCCAAGGCTGCTGGGGGCGTCAGTGTTTCTTCTTTACACACCTTCACTCTGTCATCACACACGAAATTGCATTTTTCAAGTTTTATTTTTTTTAATCTCTGGCTCTCTTCCTCCCCTCCTCACTTCCTGCCCTCCCCTTATCAATAGCTAGTTGCAGCAGATGCCCCCCCCCCGAGCCTGAATCTGCCAGAGACTTCTTCCTGTTAAAGGGAGTTTTTCCTTCCCAATGTAACCAAGTGCTTGCACATAGGGGTTTGCCTTTTTGGGGGGTTTTCTTTATTATTTTGCTTCTTTGTGCTGCACACATAAATCAAATTATATGAAAACGCGTGTGTGGATTGTTCATCAATTAGTAGATTTTGGCTTTTTGCTTGGTTGACTGAGTGAAATGCTGTATTAAATGGCCTGTATTTGTATAACGCTTTACTTAGTCCCTATGGACCCCAAAGCGCCTTACACTACATACAGTCATTCAC